GTGTGTGTGTGTGTGTGTGTGTGTGTGTGTGTGTGTGTGTGTGTGTGTGGTTTGTAGCTCTATGAGGAAGTGAGGAAGTCACTGGAACAATGTGACATCCAGGAAGATATCGAACACTTTGTAAACCTCAGACGAACCGGAGATAAGCCACCAGGTATAAACCCACTGACAGTTCGATGTCATATAACAGTTAATCTGTGCAGGATTATAGTTAAAGGGAAGTAGTTATCACACAGAAGCTGCCCGTATGTGTCTTGAACAGTTTCAGTTCTGTATGAGAACTTCTACAGCGGTCAGAAGTCGCCCACTGGAACAGCGCCATCACGGCCCCTGCCATCACCTGCCGTCAGGTAAACAAGACCTGTTCTTTTCCACACTTCTAAATACTGAAAATGCAGTCTTAATGGTGACTTTGTTTTGTCATTTTGCAGGAGAGGACCGTTACCGAACCCGACCCATAACAGTATGGGTATTTTATTATTTTTGTTTGTTTTACATAAAGAGTAGTTATTAACTCGTCAATGTCTATTCATATATGTTGAGAAAAAAGTGATTAAAGTGTTTATTTTTATGTGCAAATAATGTTGTCTGATAAACTGCACTAAAACTCTTGTTGGTATCAGTGGATAAAATGGTTATTTTGATGTTGATGAAAGGAGCTGCCCTCTCGTTTATATTTCAAGTCATATCCAGACAGTTTAAAGTGGTTTTCCATAGTTATGAAGATAAATATCTTACCTGTTGTAGAAAGCTCTGAATAGAGTTTATGTTGAGCAAAACTGACAAGCTAATTGGCTAGTCTGAGTGGATTACTGCTGTCTTACAAAAATATTATTCTGGTTTAGTCCATTTCACATAACAGTTATTTACATAGAAATCTATTATTTACCATAGTAGCATACAGTAAGTAGCAGTAACACTTTGAACTCAACCTGCAGTCAGTTTTAGCGAAATATGTTATTTCAACCAAATTATTTGCAAAATTATGAAAATGACAACAATGTAAAGACTTTAATAACACAGTCCAGAAGAACAGCTGTGAATTTTTTTTTGACTGGAGCTTTTTTTAGTGAGGTGACCAGATTTCTGAAATTGAATCTGGGAACATTTTCAGCTCAGAAATACAAACATTTTTATTTGTCAACGAGATGAAATAAAGAAACGGGGTCAGTTGCAGTTTCAATAATTCTCACATACAGTATATTGAAGAGACTTTGCTAGTAGCTAGCAGTCAAGCCTAACGGAGTCGAGCTTCAATGATGTCACGCTTGGTCTTTGCACTCTATTTAAGAGAAAAATATTTCCTCCTTGTCTCATTCCTGTTGTCAGCTTACAGCCATTAACAGAGACTTAAACATGAACAACTAACCTTTTAAGTCACACACTTGCACACATACTGTATAACTTCCAAGTTACCCAGCATCCTATGCAGCTACACAGCCTTTTTAAAGGTGATACGCTCTACTCTTCTTTGCAACATTAACAGGAATGCAACCAGCCACTTTAATAGTTGTTGTTACATGCAGCACGCTCACTCAAGCTTTATATCTGACTACCGTAATAACAGTCTATGAGCAACATCTTTTTCTCGTTCATTAAATACTAAGTCACTCTAGTTTTAAAGCGGCAGACATCCACTTTGGCCTTATCTACATTCAAATTAGCCTTTAGCTCATCAGTCGTGTTGGACGTGAACTGTTTTTCTACAAACTGACTGTAAAACGTCACATACTTATTGCTGATTTTATGTTGTTTGATTGCAGATGAGCCAACCTACTCAACGGTGAAGGACACAGGCTACAGTTTGGTCCATTACTAACTTTCAGATTCACGTATCATTTCCTCTGCGAGTTCCTGGAGCCTACACAAACCCTGTTACCAGATGAGACATCAGTTTCATAATAAATGTTTTGACTTTTGTGATCTAAACATATCAGCTAATTATAAAGGTTTATCAAATTTAATTTTTAAGGTTTTCGTGTGAACTGTATAAAAGATAAACAACTCAAGGTGTAACGTTTTGTGCTTTATTTAGTTGAATCCGTTGCAGATCAGAGCAAAAACAAAACGATGCGTTTGATCAGCTTTGTTCACGGTTCGCGTTTAGAGAGATTACTACAGTGAGACTTGCCGTGCAGAGCTCCTTTCCCCCTCAGTATACTGTAACTCCATCAGAAATTATCTCCTTTGTATGTATTTTTTCAGCTTATCAATGTTTAACCCAGAGTCACAAAGTAACGTGCCACTTGTTTTCATTTCCTCTGAGATGTGAAAGCATCTCACCACTGACTGTTCAAAAGTTTCAATAAAAATCCTGATTAAAGCTCCTTTGTTTAAAACCTATAACCTTTTACTTGTTCAATGAGTTAAATATACACTTACATCCATTATTATACACTCTACAGACATTTAATTAAAACTTCAGCATCAGTTTAGCTTCAGTGAAACAGTTTGTTAATAATACTTATATATATAAATGAGACAAAAATAAGTATTTTAAATGCACTTTCAGACTCGGACATTTTCGGCTCCAACTTTTAATACAGCAGGTAAAATAAGTATTGAACACGTCAACATTTTTTCTCAGTAAATATACAGTATTACTAGAGGTGCTAATGACATCTTCAGAAATCTTGTGAGGAGCACCTGGTCGTGGTCGGTTTATGGTGAAATAATG